AGACTTGCCACGGTCTCCAACCCTCCTCCTTTCTCATCCGGGCTTGGGACCGGCCATGGCGGAGTTCAAGCTTTAAACAATGTTGTAAATTTATTTAATTTTTAAAAAAATGTATACCTACTAAAAAATGCATACCCACTAAAGCAGAAAAATAAAACCTGATCTTATGGCTTTACTAGCATACTGCTAGTTACTGATACCACCTCAACAGGTAACCGAAGTACTGCAGCAGCTCGCTAAACTCCTAAAGATAGCAAAGCCAAAATAAAAGGCTTATTTCGTATTTCAGTATTGGTTCGTATTTGCACTGAAGGTACCGTGTGAAAGTCGATGCAATGTTTTAGCCAATCAGAAAGAAGACCTCCATATCAACTAATCGTAGCAGCGTGCTTCTTCAGAACTCAGTATTACGGATTTACTTGTGAAATGCTAGTTTTCGATACCGCCAGTAAGAGTAACCATCCCCTGTCAAATCTCTGAGTTTATGCGTAGTCACACCGTCTCCTTGCTTCCAGTAGCCTTATGGAACCGTTCCAGCAGGCGACGGCTCTATAACATTTTAAAACCTGCCGTAAATGGATGCAGAACCGCAGGGCTGACTGAACACCTTTCAGACATCTACCAAAATGCCACGTCCGTATGCGTATATGCACACAAGAAAACAGGTCCAAGTACTATGAGTTTTAGACCACTCGGTCTACATCCGCTTTTTGCACCGGATTCCTTGTGGAACCAGGAAGTCGAGAAAAGATACAGATCTCATCGTCATAACTTATAAGAATATAACTGGTATTGTAAGACTTCATGAAAGCACATGCTAGTTCAAACTCGAATTGGCGTGTTCAGCAGGGAGATGCATTACCAGTGATTAACAGCTGCAGTACACAATGTTTCCGAGATACTCCGCTGGAAAAATTATGGGCTGAACACGCGGCTTGTGGAAGACATTCTGATCGTCTCGAAGTCACCAGCAGAACTTGTAAGAAGAATGCAATGGCTGAACAACCTGGCACGAAAGCAAAAGTGAAAATGAGATTGACGGGGACTCAGGTCATGTTTAACAATTACGTGATCGCGCCCACCTGTTGAATTCACATTACTTCAGCTTCCAGAAAGGAAAAACCATGTCTGCTTGTCACAACTCATCTCTGCATGGGAGAAAGGACTATGTGAAATCGACAGAAGAATATTAATGGCACGAAACGCTTGAAAACTGGAATGATAACTCTACCTCTGCCGATCCGAAGGCCAGTTGAGAAAGGAGGAGGGCTGCACATGTGGCGAAGTCTCCGTAAAAATTAGCCACCTGCTCTTCATGAGATTGAAACCATCGAAAATTATACCGGCTCGGTCGTCACCAGGGTTACCAAGGGCCACGTAGGCTGTTGGGGGACTGAGGCAGACTACGAAACGTCGGCGATCAGAACCTGCTCATTGCCCTCTGCCAGCCGGGCGCGTAGAAGCACAACAACAGCTGACGAAGACTGACGGAACGACGACGAAGATAGCAATAAGGAACGGAGTCGCTATCCTTCTAAACGGAGGAAGCAGACAGCGCAATGCCATTTTAGCACGTCAGAAAAGAGCCTACAATAACGACGTCACCAGTGGAAGCTTAAAGTCGGAAATTGGAACATATTCTCACTTAGAGGGAAAGAGTAGGAGCAAGCTGAGGAAGTCGGGCCATCCAATCACGGCGTTCAATAGAAACCTTTCATTCAGCGTTGGCACAGGTCTCCGCCAGGGCTACGTCCTATCTCCTAGACTGTTTGTGTTGTACATGAATAGAATAATCAGGAGCTGCCAAGGCGATGAGTGTGTCGGTGTAGGAGATGTGAAGTCGAGAAGGTTGCTGCTTGCAAACGACCTTGTTTTATTGGCATCTTCTGAAACTGATCTCCAGTGCTCCTTAGAAAGGTTCGCAGCCGAGTGTGACGTTACCGGATGCGTGTGAACGCATCTAAAAAGAAAAACCTAGTGTTTTCTCGTTCTCCTGTCCGTTGCTCTCTTAAGATAAATGAAATTAGGGGAACAAACAGAGAACTTCAAGTACCTCAGGGGTGTGTTTACTGGCGGTGGAAAATTCGACGAGGAAATCGATCGGCTGAAGTCTGAAGACTAAGCTGTCTGTGTTAAAGTCGACCTTCACACCAATGCTTACCTTCGGTAATGAGTCGTGGACTATGACTGATAAACTTCGAATCCGAATACAAGTTGTTGAAATGGGCTTTCTTAGATGAGTCGCTGGCCTTACGCATCTCGACATGGTCCGGAATAGAGACGTGTATGTATGTATGTATCTGTCAGAGCCTTGGTGTACAGCCTTTGCTTCTCCAGGTTGAGAAGTCACAGCTGCGATGACTTGAGCATGTGTTGCGAATGCCTCCAGAAAGAAAGGGAGCAACTACTTCTTGTGTAGCCAACTGGCGGCAGGCCTAGGGGACGGCGTAGATTAATCTGGTGCAAATATACGGAAGGAGCCTGCTGTAGTCTCCGGTTGTGTTCTGTCGAAGCTGAGACTCTGGCACAGGATCAGGAACTCTGGACGCACTGTCTGACGCGCCTGCCTCTCCGAGCTGAAGAAAGAATCGGTCATTAAAGAGGATGATGAAGCTCTTTTGAAAACGACTGAAGATGTTTCTATCTGGGAAACTATGCGATTGAAGCGGAGTTTTCAAACAGTGTATTTTCCCATTGCTAATGTATAGGTGTGAAAACGTAGACTCTTGACAAGAAAGCTGTTAATAATCGGCAGAACTATATTACACAGTTCGGAAAGATCTATGTTAGAAATAACAAAAAAAGATTGAAAGACAAATAAATAGGTGGTAATACAAACAAAAGTCTGCGTCACTGCCTGAATTAACAAATTAAGGTGGCAATGGGCACGTTGCAAGAAGAACCGACCATCGCTTGGCCTGAAAGGCATTAGACTGGATTCCAAGAGAGAGTAAACGGACCGTACAAAGGCATCCAGATCGATAGAGAGATTAGCTAACTTTAAACCACAATAACGTAACTAAGGAACAATGCGATAGGCCAATCAGAGATAAAGCGTCAAAAACTTCAACAGATATGTCATTATAAGGTCAAAACCTTAAAATCGCGCATAGACGCTAATTCTAGGAAACAGAAGCACAGATGGAGTACAGGGAATTGGAATAAGACTGGAGAGCGACCGGCTGAGACATGTTACTTATATGCATAACAGAGGTGAAAACAGATATTACGTTGCAATTCATACAGCTTGAACGAAACACAGAATACAAATCACGCGCATTTCAACAAATACACTTTGAGCTGCACCACAGTGGCAACTATTGGTTTGAAGTGCAGGTTACACACAAGTTTGACCGCAACTCAGCTCTGACGTTCGAGTACGACTCCTCTGTAACACCGGAAACGGCTAGTCAAAGTTTTGCCTTGGCATTAGTATTTGCTGTTAATAGACATCTGACAGGTTTTATCATGGCAACTTATTTCTGATTACTGCGAAGAACAGTAATCCCTAATTTGCCAGCTTAGCTGCCGTCGGTGAGGGAAGCGACTCGGAATTAACAGACTAATTAGGCTATACAATCTAGATGTAATAAAAGCTGTATTCACGTAAAACAACGAAAAGATTGGCTACTACCACTCAGCACTCTAATGCCACTCTCGGAATTGCTAACTAAAGAAGCGTGAATATAGTAAACATTGTATAGAGTTCCAAAAATAATTTTGATTTCTATATCACTAAATTATAAACTTGAGTCTTATTGTTTCATAGACTAGTTATGCATATCGAAATATGATTTTGGAAATTTTCCAAGCAAGAAGCATCGTTATAGGCGGCAATGTGCTGGCATAAAATTCGTGTTTAGGACGAATACCACACGCTTTACTGTTCCGTTCCTTCAAAACGTTCAACAGTATTAGTAAATATCCGAATCACATTCAGTGTTAATTCATATAACTTTGTCTGACATTTTGGCACCAGTCGTGTGTCTTTTAATCAGCTTGCAGTGATAGCAGAACTTCTCGACATAGAAGGAAGCTATTCCCGTAGAGCAGATTCTTCGTTGAATGGTTTATGTTGACGAATAAGCTCAGTCAGCTCGTAAACGCTGAGATAAGTAGCTGACAGCGAACCAATACACATAAGTTTCTGGTTAGCCGCAAGCCGCTGTTTCAAGCACTCAGCTGCATGGTAAATATGTACCAAATCGGGCTCAGGTGCCCTGAATACCGTGTAAGTCAGATTTCGCATAAATTTAACGAAAAGGTCGACGTCTTCCATGCCCCAGCCTTTAATACTTAAATTGAAGCCACCGACGCCTTCGTAATCTTGCCTGTATAAACTGACCAATCCAAATCCAAAATGCCGGAAGTACCCTTCCTCAGGAGCGCGACCGATACCGCCTGCGTTTTCGTGCTGAACACCGGAAGAGGAGGCTTTGCTTTTAACAGATTCGTATTCGCTGAATACTGATGGATAAAACACCTGCTTCCCCTTAATCGTGTTCATCCGTATTCTGTAGAGCAGCTCGTGAGTAAAAATGACGTCAATATCGGTGAAGAACATCAATGAGTCCTGCGAACATAGCTTAGATCCTTGATGAAGGCCAAAGGCGCGGCTAAAGTTTTGCGCCTTGAGCAAAATCAGTTGAATTACATGTCGCTGTCGATACTTGACCTTCAGGGACTCGACCAGCGATTTAATACTGTTATCCACAACCGGTTGAGACGGAAACTGCACGATGGTAAGGCGTACGGCTTCACCGCGCTGAAGGCACGTCTTTTCAAAATTGTCCAGAAACCTTTTCAACGCTTCTAGCCGTCCCCGCAGAGGGATTATCACGTTTATAAGCCGTTCAGCAGGCAACCTGACATTCGGACTGAAGTGTAAGGGCATGCGTGCACTGACGACCTCAACGATTTCTGCCGCGGCGAAACTCTGGCGAATATAGGCATGTCTGCGGACGTGTACTGACAAGTGTCGTCCCTTGAACCGTTTGTACAACAGCAGCAAATCCAGCACGTACTCGGCTCCGTGCAGAGGGTCCACTCGATGATAGCCATACAGGATCTCGCGGAACTCCAGCGCTCTGCCCTTTTGACGACTGTTCTTGTTCACAAGATCGATGATCTGCTGTACGACGTCAGAGAGAGCTCGTCGGTAGTGCATTTCAACGTTGTGTCTTGGGCAGAAAAGAGCGCCGCTGCAATAATGAACGTCCGACGCAAAAAAATCCCATGGAATAATCTGATCAGACGTCTGAGGTACGTATA